ATCCATTGTCTTCCACTTTTAAGGGCCAGTTTTCGTTAACAGCTGGCCTTTCATAGATGCTGTCATTTAATTCAAAGTGAACCTACTTTGAAAAGTACTACAACGATTTACTAGCTGTTTGCTGGTTACTCTACACTTCTCAGTGCTCATTTCACAGTGCATATCTGAGGGGAATGTAATTAGTTCTGCGAGGATTAACATTGTAAGCCAAAGTACTTGACAAATTGAAAACTTGACCTGATGACGGCACTAGATTAAAAGTCAGAGAATCATCAAAGTTATTACATTCGCCCGGAGAGCACACATGAATATGTATACCAATTTTCATGGCGGTCAATCAAATAGTTGTGGAGACACTTCATTTTGAACCAAAAATGTCAATCTGTTGGTTGAGCTTGAGGGGGTATGCGCACAGGTTTAAGTTAGATCAGTTTAAAGTGGTCTCTGAAGCTGTTGGAGGGGAAAGTGAAACTTTTATTATCTGAGCCAAAGTAGGCCACAAAATCAATTCTGATCAGGTTAAATGTATTGTTAGAATTAAACTGAATAAGTTTCATGAAATGAATGACCACCTGACAAAAAACAACCCACATCACTTGTCACTATGGAGCTACTGTAATTGTTTGGTTTGGTGGAAATTAGCATTGATTAGCAAATGCTAATCAAATTACTCAGCCACTGTGTTAAACGTATGCTTGTTGCATTAGCTTTCACTGTTGCCTCATACTGAGTGAGTTAGCTTCCAAATATGGTTACTGTTAGCTTAATCAGATGACAGTTTCTATTTAAACTCAGATTTAAAGACAACACATTTGTGCTTGGCACAAACACACCTGAACCCTTGGTTAGACATTATAAGTTACCTGCTGTTGTTCTAGCAATGTAAATAATGTTAGACAAAGTTTATTGTACATCAAAAAAACAAATAAATACCCTAAATTCCGACTAAAACATCTTAATATCTGTTTGCTCTAGAGATGTTGAGATGTTCAGACCTTTGCTAAGAAACAGCACACATCTGTTGACTGTCTGCTTCTCTGTCCTTAGAAAAGAGGTGACAGCAGGCCAGCACACAATGTACCCTCTATCATGTTATCAATGCATTAGCTCTCTAATCCAAACTAATTGTTTCCTCATTACTCTCAGGAAAATAAACAAAGCCAACAACAAGTCAATCTGTACACATTTCCATTTACATGATCCCACAAGCCCAGCAGAGAGGATAGGGAAGGAGGAAAGAATGGTAATCACATGTTGCTGCTGTATAGTCAACTCTCAAAAAGTGAATCCTCAAGGTGGATGTGGATCAAGAGAGGATCCAACTGTGAGCGCTAAGGCTTTATCATGCTTTCTGCATGGTCGCCAGGGCAAGGGTGTCCAACGTTGAATGACCCAAAACATCCGATGACCCTAGATACTACCACTGATGATGTGTCAAAATACATCACACGATGTATGGTTACAAACAATGCCTTAACTGCTTTTTTGCACATGTAATTTTTAACATGACATAGTATAGCTAGAGATAGAGCACTATAATGTTGCTAAGTGAAAAAAGACAGTCCTTTGAATTATTGATACTACAGATGTATAGCTTAGCGTAAACATATTAGAGAGTACTTAGGTATTCGTATTTAGTTTCAGTCTACATGCAGCTGGCAGACATTTGCAGTATCAGTCATGGACAAACTTAAATCTGCAAGTTCATAACCCCTTTCCATTCCCCCTCTTAACTGAGTGAACAGGCTGCACCCTCCAGTGGTGAATTGTTAAACAACAGCTAAGCGCCATTCAGTCATTTCTTTTGCACAGTAAACAAATTAACAGGCACATTGCTTATACAGCTTTCTGTGGAAGAATAGTCCAAATGACTGGTGTATGATTCCAAAAGATAAGCCTCAATACAGTAAATTACTAATGCCCATTGCTCACTTATGCCTCCCACTTTAATATATATATATATTTTTTTTAATTAACAATGACAGGTAGTACCATATTCCTATGACATTCTTTTTTTCAAATGTTATTTTAGGTTCTGACACCAACAAATACACAAGATATGCACCCCAGTTTCAGTGAGTCCACAGTCTCAGTGATGTCACCCACTGGTTTCTTAAGTGGACTTCTGAAGCCCAATGATTCCCATTGGAAATGCTGTCTTTTCAGTCAACCAAGCCAGTGGATTCCCAAAGTGGGGTTCCCGAGTATATTTTGTATAGTATGTATATTTTACCCCTTATTGTGAAATGAAATACAAAAAGGTTGTTCAATTTAATATCACACCAAAGTCCTTCAGTGAGATTTTATGCTGAAATTAAAGTAAAAGATTTGAGTTTGCGCATGACTACAAAAGTGAAGCTATCTGTTGTGCTCTTTGTGAATACAAATGCCCCCAGACACACTGAAATAATATAATTATGTTAAGGCTGCTGTATTCTTTAGTGTTGTTCTAATGTCAGTGTTTGGATAGGCCTTTAGTATGATAAGTATCATATCCATAAAATAATCAAAACATTAAAACCCATTCCCTGTACAATGTGTACCAGTAAAGAAATGATCTTTATCTAATTTGTTTTTGAGCTAATTTTAGGAATAAATTAAGTAAAATAAAAACACTGCATTTTTTTAACAAGCCGGACGCCGCCGCGTTCACACCCTGGTTAAAACTGTGGGCCGTGTACCTCTATATCTTTTGCTGTTAATTCTTAACTTGCTTTACTTTGGTTTGGTATAATTTCTACCTGGAATAAACTGTTTATAAAATGTGTCCTCGTGTCGCTTCAGATTATCCCACGCCGCTGCACACTCCACCCACACACACACACACACACATACACACACACACAGACCTCTGAATTCTAACTACATCCATCCGGCCAAGTGAGAAACTTGTTGACTAATTCTTGAAATGATTCTGCACAAAGAGACAGATGGATCAGTCAGGACGGAGGAGGAGTTGGGGATTGAACCCTCAACCTTATGGTTAAGAGATGACTGACTCTACCAACTGAGCCACTGCCACAAACTCATAATAAATAACCCCACGAGCTGCACAGTTTCTCACCATTTACATCTTTGGCTCATAAAGAGCTCCTGTTTGTAGAGTTCTGACATTCATTAGTATACTCAACATGATATATCATGTAAAGTAGCTAAATTAGGCCGTCATAAGTTCCCATAGCAATATAACAACATGAATACTGATTAAATGCAGTTAATACACCTCTCAATTAGAGGCTATAACTATGACTTTATGAGTTTAAGCCCCGTAGTGACAATTGTAGAAAATGAAGGGACATTAGAGTGATGACAGTCTCGGTGAAGCGCTGTGGAGCTAATGGAATCTCAGTTTGAAAGAAGATGAAATAATTCTTACTGTTTCTAAAGTTTTCTTCAATGCTTTCTGTTTCCCCTTGTAATTCTGTGTGACTCCCTGAGCTGTCAAACTGTTTTCCGCAGCTGTCTTTTTTCAGACTATGAGCGGTTCATGGCTTGGGTAATATGCATTAATCATCTGTTTCAAATATTTATTATAGCAGCAGAGTATAGTTTGCGTTTGGCGCCTAGGCTCCGACCTAATCACTCCTGGCAGTTTTATTTTACATGCGGTTATGTTTTATTTTACATGGGGGGTTACATGGGGGTTATGTATCATAACACCCCCCCCCCCATTGATCACAATGGACTAGTAGAAGTGACTTTTCAGTTCATCCTCAACATCTGCTTTCCTTTACGTACAAGCTTTTAAGATCCTTTGTCAATGTCAATGTTTACCATTTCAATCCTCTTAGTACTGACGAAGAGCTAATATGATAACTCTATAAATGATACTACATCTAATTCTTGTTGGAAAGTTGGATTTGATTTTTGATCAGTTCTGCAAACAATACAGATACCCTACAAGTATTGTAGGCAATTTCCCCTGCATGGTTCAATTGGACAATACAATAATGACATAAATAGTTATTATAAGCAATAGTAAAACCATTCATATGTTTTGTTTTATAGTAATGTGTCTTTGTTTTTGTTGTTTTTTAATGGATAAAATATGTTCACTAATTTGATCTTTTTATGAATGCAGATATGTCATGGAACAAGATCTCCACTGCAACTCATTTTCTCCAAACGTCTACACCTGTTAGTCCCTCAAGGACACTGGCCAAACGCCTTTAAATATGGTCAAGTCATACCTTATGCCGTTATGTCTGGTTTCATCTTGCCACTAGATGGTGACAGAATACTACACTTGAAGAAGCAGCTGAGGGTTTCAAGAAGCACTGCAGCTGAAGCTCTGTTCCAAAACATCCCAATACTCCAACCTCCTAACTGGTTGAGCAGAAAATGGAGAATGACAGTCACCGCAAAAAAAAGGCAGTTCAGGCAATATTAGCTTATGCAGTGAGTATCTTATTGGCTAATATTAAAGCAGATATGGGCCGATATTACTATATTCACCAGTAAAATAGTATTTCAAGTTTCATTGTATTACACTAGCAGTTCTCACCAGCAGAGGGCGCTATATGGATTACAACAAGCATTATCACTCTCCAGAGTGTCGAGAGGTGACGCATGTACATGTGCAGTTACTTTCCAGTTGAGTGACCATTTTGTCTTCATTATATATCTTTTGTGATAGAGTTTGATAACTCCATTTATGCGATCAACGCAACACATCTGTATATCTATATATCTCTACATATTGAACATAGATCTAAGATAGATATCGGCAGGTATATCGTTTTCTGATTCTTCTCTGATTAATCAGTCCCAAAAATCTCATATTGGTCGGGCCCTAGTTCAGATTACCTGAAAGTCCTCATTCACTGAGACCCAACAACACATAAAGAAACATAGCTTTATAGCGTTAAAGTCATGAAGGACCCGATTAATTCATCAACAAATAGGGATGACAGTCTGTACATCTCTAAACTATCAGGTAGAATATTTTGCTATGTCTGGTTACTCTATGGTGAGCTGAGAAAAACATATAAATCTCTTACCTCCCCTGCCAGTGAGGTGTACAATTTCCTTTGTTGTTTTCTACTCAGTTGTTTTGGAGGCATGTTGACTGGCTTCTCTGGTCAGTGACTGTAAAGACAAAATAAGCAAACTGGTTAAACTGGAAAAAACTGGATTGACACTTATCAAAGCACAACTAAATTTCATTTCCACAGACTCAATATAACGTGATTTATGTCTCAGTTAACTGAAGATTTATTCATTTGGACAGGGATTAAATTAGTTATGATCTATAAAAAACAAATTGTCTAACAAATTGCAGTGTTGTAGATACCTATTTGCAAACCTTTTGATAGACCATGATAGTAATTTGACTGAAAATGTCAGTTTGTTCTCGGTAATTGATGGAGCATAACTAAAACCGTGTCTCTGTGGTAAGGACTGTATATAAAGACATTGATAGTTAAGATCCTGGGCCCCAGGACAGTGACAAAGTGTAACTGGAAAATGATATAAAAATGAAATAAGTAGGAAAAAAAAAAAAAAAAAGGACAAACTTTACAACATCCAATGCAGATTTTGTGTTAATATCATGTATCATCAACACAGTCTAATTACCGACCAGCACAGCACGCCCACCCTGCTTGAACTCTTGTGACCTTTATCAAGCTGAGCTGCAGTCTGCCCATCCTTATTACACACCCCAATTGCAAATCCCTGAGCACTGGCCTTTTCCAGTATGACTTTATGACACTGTTATTGTAGCATTTTCCTTCGACTATCGTACCCTCTGAGAGCCTTGGCTGGAGACAATCTCAACTGTTAACCTAGCCTTTACAATGACATTGACACACTGTATGGCATTCTGATTCCAGGTCTGCATTGAAATGTGGTTAATTCAGGTTTTTATTCTTACCTGTTACTATTTAAAATGGCGAAAAGAAAGTTGTTTAATTGAGGGACTAGAGAAAAGAAGAATAACATACTGTACTCACTGCTTAACTGTGTTTCTAGATCACGCTCATTTCAGGTAAATTTACATGCAGTGTGAAGATACGAGCGTAATAAAGATCTCTAGCATTAGCATGCTAACACAACAATGCAGCGCGAGTTGTTTTGGTTTCATGCTGGTGCTCAAGGGTGACATCTGCTGGATCAAAAAAATCGCATATAAAGCCTTTAAAGATCATAATGTTCCAAATGAAGTGCTTTTAACAGATTCTCCCACATACCTTACTGAAGAGGAAACTGCATACGGCCATCTTTGCCACTTTCTCAAATAGGTAAGAAAGGAAGTACTTATATAATGTAACACGTTCACAATTCAGGAGTCAATTAGACCAAAAAAGCAGCAGTCAGCTGTGCTCATTTAGTCGACCAAATGGTTAAACATCATCTTGCTCGCTACTCGGCCCTAGCCTTACTTGCCAGTTACACAATTTCTGATTTTGCCCACAATGTCGGTCAAATGTAATTCTCAAAGTGCGACACAGCCAAACGCCACTCGTCGGGGCTGATGACAGAAAATGAAGATGAAGTTGGATGCCGGCTGTGTCAGGTTAATCTGGCATATCAACTGGAGCAATGGATGATCATATTTAGCACAGGCATGTGGATGTTAGGCTGGAGGGAAGAACGATGGCTGGTGGTGATAGCCCTGCTTAGGTTAGCCACAGTCGGCAAACCAAATAACATTGTTTTCCCGCCAACAGTTCTGAATAAATTGTGCTCCATTTTGACTTCACATTTAGATGTTTAAATGGAATTTAAATTTGAGTTTAAATGACTTCTAAATTAACTCTGCTGGGAACATCCCTAGTAAGAACAAAACTATGATAGAGCGAGTTAAAACATGCTCCTCCACTAATGCTTCAAACTGACCAATGCATTCCCTTTATTGTTTCGATGATCAGAACCAGGGCTGCAATAATCAACAGGGCTGTTAATGGAAAGGAGGGGGCAACGACAGTAGGGCAGATACATTCCTTCATCGATCTAGTCCACAGTGACTGACATTGATTCTACAGAGAGAGTCCCTGTATGGTAAATCATTTCCTAGTGAGATATCCTAACAAATACACAAAAGCAGAAGCTGTGAGTCCCTGCCTGGTCTAATCATCTCTTAATTGTTGACTTTAAAAGGACAATTTCCTATTGAGACACGCTCATCAAAAGACTGTGCAGTGTGCCACTCTATCTCTCATTAAAAGACAGTGTAGCTCACTCAACAAGGATCTATCTCCCTCGTCAAAAAGAGGGGACTTTTCTTAATGAAAGAAAATAATCTGCGATCTGAAAGATGGATGTATTGGACACTATTCATAGTGTTTTTGCTCCATGGATAGCATCCAATATATCCAAGAGCAGTGTGCGTGTAGCAATTATAATATTTAAAGTCAACAGAGGAATAAAAGCTGGCTCTTTAGCATAAATGTTTCAGAGAAATATCTTTAAAATAAGGCAAAACAATAGGTATAAGAAAAGGAAACAGTTGTAACGTATTCAAGCTCAGTCAATATTCATATCCTGGCGCTGCATCTGAGACAAACTGTAGATATGTGAGATGTTGCTAAGGACAGAAAAACACATAAAGACGCTCATGCTCTGCTGAAATAAAAAAGTCAACATAAGTTATATGTGTGCTGTATAGTAGTCTGAATTTAAATAACGCAGAGGGCAAAAAACTTCCTGAAATGTTCAGGGCGAGCTGCATGTGTGAACACAAACAGCTGAATTTTCATTCTGACTTTAACCGGAATTGCTTCTGCCGGCTCCCTAGTAAATTTTCTGAGTGAAGTCAGGGGGAGCCAATATGAGAACGCAGCAGAAAATATTCAAGAAAATTCACCGCAAGGAAGTGGGAGGATCCTGCGACTGGCATGCAACGGGTGCAGAACAGTGTGATTTAAGTGTACATAATGAAACTTCTTCATTATGACTTCAGTCTTTTGTTATTAATTAGTCAAACTACACGTATCATTAATATAAAGGCAGAATTCTCATCATCTTGTCGGACTCTGTTGCAATTGTCTTCCATCTCCACATTGTTCTTTTTATATCATGTCCTGCCTCCTGACACCTCCTCCTGCAGGTCAAAAGGGAAAGCTTCTAACTGTGGGGTACATGTGTGAACAAGCAACTAAGGATGATTTCAGGGGCAGTCTTCTAGACATTTTCAGGAGTGCATATGATAAAACAGCTCCCCGAAACATAAAAATAAAACCTATTTTCCTATTTATTTATTTTTTTTACAAAGATTATGTTTAAAGAACAGAGCTCACCTAAATCGCTCCATAGCCACGCAGACAGGTGTCAGTTTTGTTTGTATACAGGCATAGTGCACACCTCACCCTGCCCCTTAACCTGAGCCCCTGACCCTTAATTTGACACCAGATGCAAGATGTCAGCAGTATGTTAGTGCTACAAGTGCAAAGGAAGTGGCCATCTGTTCAATTCACACCAAGTTTGAGCTCTGACAATGTTTCACTGTACTCACAACCAGCTGTCCCGTCAGCAAACTGTGTTTGTACGAAAATAAAATATGTGTTAGTGCGTGTCTGTGCATGTGTGTGTGTGTGTGTTTTACATTTCTCTTAAGGTATCTCAGAAAAAGACTCAATGTTGATTCATTTGACACACATCAATCATAACGTTTTCCAAAATCCTTTGCCTGACACGCATGAGCGGCAGATGTCAAAAACACGTCAGAAACACTTGCAACCCAACCTCTGTCAGATGACAAACCACAAAAACAAGTAACACTAAAGGCCAGACTCACACTAAGCCTTGACGCCTGTAGTGTTAGATCCATGATCAGGGAGTACAAGATGGGAGAAAAGCCGTTGGCAAGACAACATAACTTAGAAATAGTTGATCTGAACATCTGTTCGGAACATGCTATGTGATGGGTTTTTTGCCATCGGTTAAACGTTCTTGGAGCATCAGAGAGATATTGTAGTTTTACCCGAGCTGCTAAGGACTGTCTTGAAATAATATAGCACCACTGCACTTTCAACATGCTGCAATATGGTCAATAATAACTACTATTCTTGTATATTTTGTATATTGTGTGTTGCTTCATCTTGTCTTTGTCATGATTTGGTCTCATTTAGTTTTGTATTTCAGCGTTTAGGTTTCCCTGTTTTAATTTCTCCTGTCCATCCTAGTGTTGCTTGTTTCCCTTGTGTGTTTTTATCTTAATGTTTCATAGTTTTAGTCTTCAGTGTTTCCTGTTTTATTTTCTAGTTTCTTATCCTTGTGTTTCTTTGTTCTAGTGGTAATGTTACATTCTTGAGTTCTGTGTGTCTTTAGTGTTTCATGATTTAGTTTGTAGTTGTCCTCAGTGTTTCTTGTATTGTATTCCTGCCTCTGTGTGTTTCCCTCAGTGTTGATTACCCTCATTGTCTTCACCTGTGTCATTAGTCTCACCTGTGTCTGATTACCCCTGTGTCTATTTAGTCTCTGTGTTCCTTCCCTTGTGTTGTCAGATCATTGTTGTAAGTTCACAGCAGTTGTCCGTCAATGTCAGAGTTTCTAGTGTTTCCTTGTTTTCCCTTTTTTGGATTTTGTTCTTGTAAGTTTTTGTTTTGCATTTTGCCTCTAGCTTTTTTTGTTGAAATAAATTGTTTTTGTTAAGCATCTGCACTTGGGTACTGTTCGTTCTCAATCCTTGACAGGCTTTAATCTGCTGGTTGAGTTTAGTTTACGAGACAGGCAGACTTGAATGGAAATACAGAAGGGACGCACTGTTGGGTCCGCGTCGGCACATCGGAGAACAACACACAGAACAAGACGGCTTGCTTCTCTAAAAAGCATTAACCGTGTGCTACTTTCTCCCTGTAGACGCACCGTACATAGGCTACCGCAGTTTCTCCCTGTGGTCACAGTGATGGAAAAGAACGACACCACTGCTCCTTTGAGTGGCTCGTTTCCTTTCTGAAAAACTCCCGCGCGGCTCAGTTGACAACATAGACTGTAAATATTAATGGACGAAGCCTGAGTGACGTCACCCATCTGTTACTGCAGGGGGCTCTGGTGTCACATTGATGGCTCTCACCATGCTGGAAATCCTGTCTCACCCTAACTTTCAGTCAACCTAATGACAGGGTAAGAGCCGGAGCTGAGGCGGGTTTTAAGCCTCTTGACAAACCGTTACATTGCATCCATCAGTCAATCAGGTCAGCTAAGCTCCTTATTGTCACTAACGCTTCTCCTTCATAAAATCAAAAGGGATGAGTTATCCAAATATTCAACCCCCGTAGAGTTGGTGTGGATTGAGACGTGGGCAAATCTGACCTATTTCGTTTTTTGAACCAGGCTGTAAACATGTTCATTTCTGCTGCAAAAAAAGCTATTTTTGAATGGGTGTGTATGTGACTTCTGGTGCATATGCAGCCAGCCTCAAGCGGGCCCTTCAAGGACTGCAGGATTTTGCATATCCGCATTGGCTTAACTTCTGGAGGCTTGATCCAAACTGAGTTTTGTGATCAGTTGCACCCCTATTAAATAATGTAAAACTGACTATGATGGTCAGTTGAGATAAGTTGTTGTGCGGGAGAAAAAGTAGTAGATGTGGCGTATGGCTCAAGAATAATACTGCCCTACAAAGGCAAAAGACCTTAACTCGCCAGAGTGTAGAACTGAGAAAAATGTCTTTTTGTTGTCCAGCCAAATGAGTTGCAGGCAGAATATTGGAAATGTGGCAATTCTTTGTCTTTTTAATGAGGTTATTAATGTTCATAAAAAATATTTAGCTCAAACATGACCTTTGACCCTTATTTGGAAGTTAAGGTACACTGCCTTTGCATTGCCTGTACAATAATAAGAGGTCATGCCAAGGCAAAAGGCATTAACTTCCATTTGATACTGTATTTCACTTGGTTGCATGGTTAAAATAACACAACCAACACTATTTCTTTACTACACTTCAGTCAAGCTAAGTGTGTGTCAGAAGTGCTTGATGACAGATATTAAAACAAAGGCATAACACCTTAACTCCACTGCAGTGAAACAGTAACTTCACTTTGATCTGTAGCAAAACAAAGACAGAAGACCTGAACTCAGTTTGAGCGTTCCTGAATGCTGCAGTACAAAGGCGAAGACCCTGATGAGTGAAGTTACTGGACTCTGCCTTGGTTTCTCGAGGGCTTTTGGAAGTGAAGGCAAATACAGCCTACTATTTTCTCAAAAAAAACAACAACACAATTGACTCAAGATATCTGTCCACATAATAAAGCACATCTGTAATGTTCCAAAAATGACAAAAACTCTTTTTTTTTTAAATTGAAGGTACTGCCTTTTGCCTTTGTAGGGCAGAATAGTATTCAAACATGATCTTTTTTTAAAGATATCTCGAAACAAAAAATATACTACTACAATTTAAAGGGGGGGGGGGTTTAGGGGTTTCAGGGTTTTGGAGCAATAGTCCAAGTAGGCTAAATGTTTCTCTGTTGTCAATGACCGATGGTAGCACAACAGGTTCATTACCTCCATTTTTCAATTAATTAACTTTAATGTTAAAATAGATGGACATGTGGAGAGCCACACCAAGGCCAATAGTTCAGTCACCTATGCAAACCTTCAGATATGCACACCTGCAACCCTGACCCTGCCAAGACTCCATCAGAACATCACCATCACATCATGAAAACCATCATGTTTCACAGGACGAGTACTGAAATCTTACCTTGGTTTGTAAAAGAATAAGCCTCAAACACATAACAGAAGCAGTATTTACTAAATCAAACTCATATGTAGGCTACTCAACTTTGTCCTGTACCTTGCACATAACAGTCTTTTCTTATAGGAAAATGACTTTCTGAAGGTGTTTAGTTTGGCATTATATTGCTAGATATCCATATGGTGTATGTGAACTCCCTAGTAGCAGGAAAAATAGTTGGTCATCTTATAGAAGCTGAGATTACAAAAAAAGGCGTTTGTTATTTTTATTCTCATGACTATTGCAAAACTAGCGCAGAGTAAAGTTGGCTAAAGCTTTCTGATACTGCTTCATCCATACACTGCACTTCCTGTTCGAGCCAGCCTGTGTTGTCGATGTCTTAAGTGTTTCCCGCAGCTGTGCAATCCGCAGTTTAGAGTATACAGGCTTATGTTATGGATAGGTATAGCTTGTAAGGGGGTATACATTTATCGATAGGGAAACAGTCTTCGTCAAAACACCCGTCTGCCATTGACACAGGCAGCTGTACTTGTGAAGGACATCGGGGGAGAGGCTCCTACCTTGGACAGCTCCAGGAGTTTGTGCAGCTCTCAGGAGTCTCGACCGGCTTCACAACAACGCCAAATTGTTCCAGCTGAAGGTTCTCACAGTGACTATATCCGCTCACTGCAGCTGCCATTCCACTCAGGTACACTGGCTCCGGGGTCCTCCATCTCAAAACGCCTCACTCTTTTCCGCATCTTCCTTTATTTTAATTACCGGAGCACTCCGTGGTGCATCCACGAGGATGTGCCGCTGCTGCTGCGCATGCGCGGAACAGGTTCGGTCTGTGGTGGGTTTAAGGTGAATGTTGCCTTCATGTGATGTCAGGAAAAGGTGCAATTCGAAAATGGCTCAGTTCAAATTGGAAACTTAAGGCAGGTCTGTAAAGAGTAGGCTTTCTATGCCTACTCTTTAATGAAGACAAAAGTAGAACCTATGAACTAATACTGTGTATGGAGTTGTTTTTACAGACATTTAAAAAATTTTTATAACCTGTTAAATCTCTTAAAGGTGCAATAAAAATGTCACAGTCATAAGAAGAGGGTTCTGGGTCCACAAATAGACATTTAAATGAGGGTGCTGATGATGCTGTCAACCTATTGAACTGTTACCCTTGCTCACATCATTTAGGCCCAAGATTAAGGAAAAAGGAAAGCGTACACCTTTACAAAATCATAATATTTCAACAGATGTCTTTTTTGGATGTTAAGATGTCAGGGCTAAGATTGGGCCGTGAAGGCAACCTCACCCCTGTGCGTATTCTAGCAGCAGAAACAAGAGTCCTATTCACCCAGACACTGACTTAATGTGCATGTGGTGTCCTTTTACCAGGCCATGCAGTCATGGAGCAGTGGGAAGAAACCTTGGAAAGCAGCTCGTGTGTCAGAACTGAGGTGTTAGCTCTCACACAGGCCGTGTAATGACAGCTTCTCTAATCGAGACAGCACACACTGAGACAGTGAACACACGGAAATGTTGACAGTTAAAAATGCAAATAAGCATCCTAACATATGGTCTCTTGCACACAGATGCTGCTAGTTTTGTATTGGCGTGAGATATTCAGGAAAATATTTTAGTTGAATAATCAGGATTAATTCAGGACGAGGCCCCACTGTCAACATTATCATGTATCACCATCGATACTGTGAGTTAGAAATTCTACATCTGCAATAGGGTTGTAATGTTTCTTTGTGTTCATCTATAGGTTATTAAATAGTCTGCCTTTTATTAAGTGGAATGTACAGACATGTCTAATGGTATTGTAAAACTATGTGGTATTAACATGTGTGACATTATACTTCTCATTATTCTTTCTGTGCATGGCTAACCTCTTTATCATAAGATATTTCCATTTGACCAATGTTTGATCTCTTTCTTCTAAAATGGTTAAACAATAGGCCTGCTGTTTGATTCTGACCTTGGGGCTTTCTGTGGCTAATTGGTAGGGTTGGTTGTCTCTGAAATCAGGGGGTTGGCCGTTCGATCCCCAGCTACTGCACTCAATACGTCAAAGTTTCCCTCGGCAAGACACTAAGAACCCAAAATTGCTCCTGGTAGCATAGTAATCAGTGTGTGCATGGAGGGGTTCATTAGAACTAATGGGAACTTTGTTTTTCAGCCTCTGCCGTTGTGTGTGAAAGGATACATGTGACAAGAGAAAGAGCCAACAGAAGGGAAAACACTTCATAGCTCACATACTTGACTTTGTTTCTATGTCTGCTTGCAAACACCACAACAATCCTTGTCTCTGGTGGGATGCTATGAAAGGTTAAGGAACTCTGAACTTTGAGTTTTCATTGACATCCAAACAAAAAACTAGTGAGTATTTAGCCTATAAAGCTGAAGGCATCAGTTGAAGAACATTTTCAAACCAGGGGTTACGGCCCTCAGTTATTTTGCCAGATAAGCTGAAGAGGTTTAAGCCCAAGCTATGCATCACCTGGTTTTGATCTGGTTTTGATGTTATGTAAAAATGATGACTGTACCTTGTGTAGTTAAGTCACATAACTGTTCATCTCAAAGCAGAACATTTCTTTCCATTCAGATCATTTTCGAAGAAAGGTAAAGTAAGGAGAAGGGAAACTTAAACAAACCACAACCGACTTTGTTAATAAACCTTCTCCTCGTTCGTAGCCATGGGATGCTGAAATAATCCTTATACAGAAAAAATCTTCATTAACACTTTTTTGAAGGGGTATGCATAAGACGGACATGATGGTTCAAATGTGTTCATATAGTCAAAACAAATCCTCACAGAATGTCTTGAGCTGAAATGAATCTTGAGATGGGTCTTTTTCATCACTATTAGTGTATCAGCACAGACGAGGCACACTGGCTTGCCTTTCATACACACACAGAAATATATAATAATTTGTCAATTTCTCTTGAAAAGTGCAACATTTTGCATTTACTTTTCTTTTTTTGACAGCCATCATGATTCATTTCAGCAAAGATGCATAGCCACTTAATGTGTCTATTGTAACACTGAAAGCAACATAAAAGTATACAGCATGTGTTGGATTAAAGAATTTCCCCCTGTCAGATAGTGTCCCACCTCCCCATTACTATTATCTGATAGCGTCCCTCCAGAAAAGTGTAGTTACTGTTTGATTATTTTTAGTATTTTTAACTTTGTTTTTTGAGGGGAGCTTTGAATTGCCTTCTGTGCCGGACCAAACAGTCACGCTGGCTGGGTGTTTTCCACCCAAGGGTTACGGTAATAATTGCAAACAATTTTCAGTTTATAAAAAAAATGCCTTTTTAGTCACTATCTTTTGCTGAAAGAGTTAACAAAGTCATGATTGACCCATTGTGTTTTGATTTTATTTGAGTGGTGTAAAGTTCACTGTCTCCAGTAATAAAAGTTACACCTATCTCAGGTGTAGAGCTAACTTAATCAGGTTAAAAAAAAGAAGAGAGTATTAGGATGCATACACAAATACTTAAAATTTAAGTCTGGTTGGAATCAAACAACAATTTTCATGTGATTCGATGTCAAAATGTGCCCTTTATTCATTTAGGTGCTGATGGTCTCACTATTGAACATGGAAGGAATGCAGTGGGGAACCTTTGTGATCTTGTACTAATCACTGCAGCTTATCAATCACCAAGAAAACCACGATGGTGTTTATAAAGCCCTATCCTATATATTTTGGTTGTTTTTATATATATATATATATATATATATATATATATATATATCTTTTTTTTTGTAAAGCTGACATGTTTGCTTGCAGAGTCAGTCTCATCCATCATCCATTGTGTCAGCAGGCGAAGCCGTATGCTGTCAAATGCCTCCTACCCCAGTGCGCATGCGCTCACTCTCCTCCTCCTCCCTCCCTCCGTCGGTGAGTCTCGGTTCTCCACCTGACAGCTCATCGGGAGACATGCACAGAACCAAGCCCAGGGTTTCTCACCAGCAGTGATTAAAGGCCCCGGTGTCTGGAGTCTGGGCTGGATACTGTTCCGGCTGTTGTCCCGCGCGTCTTCCTCCACACAGCGGCATGGAGCGCTCCTGATCCCGGCAGGACGCCTGGAGATCTCAAGCGATTCTTCCCTCATCACATCTTGGATCTGTTTGGATATTCTGAGGCCCGACCATGTCTGCGAGAGACAAGGGGATCCTGACCAAAGACAGCGTCAGCCTGCTGCCCTGCTTCTACTTTGTAGAGGTAGGTTGATGCTTCATGTGCAGAGCGATTCGGCATCCCCATCAGACGATACCGCATAGTAAGGATGTATCACGATGTGGTCGTGCATAACTGGCTATCACGTAAACCTGTATGAAGATGACGATTTGCTGGTACAATTTTAATATGTAGGTAAAAGGAATGCATATAGTATTATACCCGTTTTTTTAGCGAAAGAAATTTGCATTTTTTTTCCACCTGTCAAACGAAGTCACCTGTTCTCATCATGTGCATTGCATCATTTTGTATACTGTTTTGTTTGTTTTGTGTGTTCCCGTGAATTATCACGTCTTAAACACTGATGCACAGACTTGCAAATACTGTTATTCTACAGACACTAGGCATATTGCACACATGGAAAGCTGACGTTTCACTCATGAGCAGCTTTAAAATAGAGTCATGGGGGCAGGAAGGTAAGCCACCATGGACTTGGAATAGGGAATAAGTGAATTCCCAACAAATCAGACTCCTTTGTTATTAATTTATAAATATTGTTTGAACATCGTTTTGAAAGCTTTTTGGGGAGTAATTCAAATGGCCTGATGATGTCAAAGACTTGACCACAGATTGCATGCAGCTTGTGGTGACTGTCACTCGTTCCCCTGCTGTGCACTTTATGCATGCTCTAATTCACCACTGGCCTGTGGCTCCTCAATCAAACTGGCATCATATATTATAGAGTAGCCTGTATACTGTATGATGGATGCTGTTGGAATTACAGCGTCAGGCTCATTGACTCTTTTACAGTAGTGACTTTGACAGGGAATTCCCTTGATTTTGTTTTTGTATTTTCTTAATCCTTTCATTTACATTCCAATGCACTCTCACTACAATTAACATGCCTGAAAAAGAAATTCAGCCTTGAGCTTTTGAAATTGCGAAAGCATGCTGTTCACTAAAGGGTTTTTTTTTTTTTTTTTTACCCTCCATTTTTATGAACAGCAGGAAGCGTTTAAACTAGGTCAATGCTGAAAGTAAATTCTACTCGGTGAACTACAACACTTGTGCATATAATTAGTCAGACTCAGGCTCATTCCCAGAGTGTGTTGTCAGTGGCTGGTTTGCAAAAAGCTGAGGTGGTGATCCGTTCATCACAATTTCATCCGGCCCTCTTATCAGCCATGTCCAACAATGTGTGGAGGAGGTAAGAGTCTGTCAATCAGGATGTATGCATCCTCCACAGGGAGATTTACCCCTGCATAACTTATTGCTCTTCACCTGCCATATGAATTCTTTATGCTTATAGCTTAAGATCAAGGGGTAAAAAGCTGATCTAAATATAACGCAGCCTGTTATAACGAGTAAGCTGTTATTCACAGCCCAACACTGGTTGCACAAAAAAATGTTTTGAGCGGTTTACTATTTCTCTTCTTTAAAAATCAAACAATACAATAAGCTTTGAAATTACAGTTTACATCTCAGGTTTTTTTTCACAGAAACTCATAGGTTTGTTGCTGATGGTGCATTTTTTTAAGGATGAAATGTAGAATTGATGTTATAGACAGTAAAGATTCTTAGCTGAGCCTGATTTTCACATCATAAATAAAAAACAAATAAGGTTTTTTTTATGCAGAGGTGGTTGAGTTCGGTTAAAAGATATAAAGCATTAATGTTCATGTTTTTTTCTATTTCGCAATGATGCTCCTATTTTTTACTTGTGCTACAAATCCATCCAGCCTATTCCTTAACAGAAGGTTTCTGTGACCTTCCCCTTAAAACCTGAATTCATCAAGACAAGGTTGTGTTGCATTCCGGCCCCAGCATGGCTTCAAGAAACTGAGAACTTTAGTTGAATCTTTTGCTTCCACCATATGGTCATACGTTGTTTCAGAAGTAAGTGTTGGATAGAAATGACAAAGGGAATTAGGGAAATTTGTGTGGAATCAGCCCCTGCAGTCAACTTGTCATAGTGCCCTTGGGCAATACACTGAACCCTAAGTTGCTCCAGGTGGCATAGCCAGCAGGCTGTGAATGTGGATGAATGGAATTAGTTCATACTGAAGGGGCACTTTACATAGCATCCTCTGCCATCAGTGTATGAATGTGTGATTAGGTTAATGTAACATGTCATATAAAAAAAAATGCTTTGCTTAGTCAGAAAACTATAAAAGTGCTGTATAAGTACATATGAATTTTAGGAGCCAGTTGTTTGTAGTTTTGCCCTGCAGTAGAAAGACTGAAGCCAGGATAAGTCATATTTTGCTCAATTGGCTTGACTATTCATATTTCAAGCTGTCTTGAAGTTTTCCAGCCCTCTGGAGTCATTGGGAAATACATTTAGCTGTAAATCAATCAATCATTATTTATTTGTTTCTCACCAATTCAAACACACCAATGAGCAGGTAAAATACCGTACTCTTTGTCATAAAAATAAGATATCATGGCTTGATAGTTGCTACACTGTACACAAGTACCTACACTTACTGCTGAGTTATTTAATCCTTTCTCATCTTCCCCTCTCTGTCAGAAAGAGACAGAATACCCCTTTAACTACAGCCACAGAATTCATTAACACAAACTTCATTCAAACTTAGTTATATAAATGTTTTCCTCCTTCACACTTAAGGCAATGCAAGGCAAGTTTATTTCTATAGCACATTTCAACAACAAGGCAATTCAATGTGCTTTACACAAGACACCAAAAGCATCATGACAGAGGAAAGAAAAGAAACATTAAAATAGAAAATTTAAAAATCACTGAAATTATCAAATCTGAAAATATGTTCACATAAAAATAATTAAAATGAAATTAATTGAAGTAAAAATATAAAAAGAGTTAAAAGTTACAGTGCAGAGTTAAAGTTTAAAATCGTATTATAATTGTTTAATGAAAGGCAGCTGTAAACAGGTGAGTCTTCAGCCTCCATTTAAAAGAGCTGAGAGTTTCAGCAGACCTGCAGTTTTCTGGGAGTTTGTTCCAGATATGAGGAGCATAGAAACTGAACGCTGCTTCTCCATGTTTGGTTCTGACTCTGGGGACAGAGAGCAGACCTATCCCAGACGATCTGAGCGGTCTGGATGGTTCGTAATTAATCAGGAGGTCACTAATGTATTTTGACCCTAAACCATTACTTAGTTAGAAAATCCGCAACAATGAAGGTTGGACTTCATTGGCACATTCATCAATTGGCCATACAAATTCCCTCCTAATGAAAAGTAATGTTGCTCTGTGGGGTTTTTTTATGGGTAAACAAGTGATAACCTGTTTTCAAACTATTTCTAGAGTGATATGAGGCACGTTTTATAATGTTTTGTAGCTTGATTTACTGGGTTCTTCCCAGTACATAAAGTGTATACCTCTCTATTACTTAAGCTTGACTGAATAGAATAGGAAGAATACAATGAAGTAATGTAAGAGGCTGCAAAATAACTATGGTAATGCCATCGCTGGTAATCAATTATGTCACAGTTATAGATGATTTTAATTCCCGATGTGGCGTTTAGAGAAACTACAGATATGATCTGTTCCCCAACACAGGCTGACAGCTATACTTCTAGTGTGGACTGTGTGCTGAAGTGCAGTTAGTGGAGCCCCAGGCTGATTGTCGTCCAAAGTGGAACAAATGGTAGCATGGGGAAGGCTGAAAAACTGTTATTTAAAACTGGAAAAAAAAAACAAAGATGAAATCACATGCATAACTGTAGGCATGGACATGGCCATTTGCCTTGATAAGAATAAAGAGTATGTTGTTCTTCTAGAAAAGGTCAGCTCTAGGCTTTCAGTGAGTCTTTCATAGAGAGCAGATCAATGTTGAAGTTTTGAATCAGGAGCCTCATGTTCAGACAGTAGCTGATCAGGTATATGAGACTGCAGCTGTTTACTGAATGTGTCAGATTCATCTAATGAAGATCAATCTCCCTTTCAGGTTGGAGCTACAGGTTGCTCAGCCTTTTTAGCTTCAACCAACTACAACAGTTTTGCAGCCACTGTGAGTGCTGACAGTAAGGTCTGTGGATAAATGGAGAGACTTTCTGAGAGGGGAAGTAACTTTTGATAGTATCGCATGTATTTTTTTTATTAATTGCAACGCATTGGGGGTTGATTTGTCTAAAGTGGTTCTCAAGTGGTTGATCCTCAGGACCCACCGACTACTCCTTCATGAAAAATAGCGACCCAAATTTCTTTGATTTTTTTAAATCATTCATTGCTTAAAACAAAGCTTCATAGACTTTTTGACAGCATTTTTCTTCCAGGCACACATTCACAACCCATTGAAAATGGCCCCGCGACCCACCAGTTGAGAACCACTGGTCTAGAGTAGAGTAGCGAAGCATAGCGCCAATTCATAACAATTGTTATCTTAAGACACAAAAGAACAGGAAAACACCTTACTAATAATTGGATCTACAAAAACCCAAACCATTAATCCATTATGAGAACTAAAGCAACATTTAGCAAAGTAACAGTGGTATGGAAAAACGTCCTATAAGAAGCAGAAACCAGCCTCGTGTCGAACAGCCATCTCCAGAAACTTTGTTAAATGGTTCATATTCAGATTCATTTTTGACACATTGACTTAAATATTTGAAGCTAAGTGATGTAGAGGCAGCTAAACAAAATCATTTAACAACATTTTTGGTCCAGGAATGTCTCTTCTTTAATTGGGGAGGCAGTGAGCAAGATCACTATAAAAAGTTTTCTTCATGGTATGGTTTTTTGTATGAGTGAAAGCTCCGTCCTGTCAAGGTGGAACTAAAGCCTGAAAAATACATTCCAGCTTTTGCAATGTTTCTTCTTTTTTTTTTGTTGTTGCATTGATCTAAAACACTCAGCATTACATCTGCTATTGAAAGAAATAGGACCATCCCAGGGCAGGCAGACAAACAGAGGGAAAGTTGAAGGACAAAACAAACAAAAAAATATAGTAAGAACTATAGAAAAGGGGCTAGTTGTGATACAGAACAGTACAATATGTGACACAGATTGGTTCTTTGCATGTGACAGAAAGTGAGGGAATGAATGCGAGACAAAGAGCATGAGA